TCTTGCCCTCACACTTTCCTAACATCAAGGTCTTTTCCAAGGATTCTTCTCTTCTCATGAGTTGGCCAAAGGACTGGAGCCTCAGCTTCAGGATCTGTCCTTCCAGGGAGCACTCAGGGTTGATTTCCTTTAGCCCAACAAAACCATATGGCAGTAGATCAGGCCAGCCAGTCGGGTCAACTTGAAGCTGCCTTCCGGCCTTTTTCATCCTCTCCTGGGCCAGCCTACAGACCCCACGACTAGGACGGTAATCATCACCTTGTTAAGTGGCTGCAATTTGTAGCCACCTTAACATGCACCATTTCACAAACTTTGAGGTGAAACTGCAACAGGATTCTAACCTTTCTGGCCAGAGAGAGAGAGAGAGAGAGAGAGAGATCACTGTATATATTTTGACCTGGGTCTGCCAAGGCCAACTTTCCTCCACCTCAGGCAGCTGAATGCCTGGGGTCAGCCCCTCATGGCCTAACCCCGATGGGAAAACTGAATGAGTGGTGGGGCAAGCAGCCTTTGAAGACCAGCAATGGATTTAAGGGTTTATTTAGAACTTTCTCCACTTTGCTGTGAGACTGCCCTGTTTTTTTCTTCAACCCAAAGGAGAGGGTGTTTCAAGTGCAAAGCTGGTACTTCTTTTTATAGCTCCGGTAATTAAATCATTTCATTAACCACCGGCTGAAGGCTGGGAACTGTTTTCCTACAGACTCTGCTGCGTGGGGGTGTGTGTGCCAGAGTCGATGCAGGACGCTTGAACCTCATCACGATTTGTGACAGGAACAGCTGGCTGGCAACCGAGGAGGTCGGGAGACCCGTGATTTTTCACAGAATAAAAGGACTGCCAGACACAAGTGTGTTGCTGCAGCCCTGTGCCTGCCCTTACTCACGAGAAATCCCTCCNCCCCCCCCGAACTCAATGAAAATAAGTTCAGGGTAAACATGTTGAGAACGATTCCATAAATCAAGCTTCGGCCCAAGAACCGGATTTGTGACATCGCCTAGAAGAAAACCACTTTGTAGAAAGAAGTTGTTCGAGAATTCAGAAAGAGAAAGTCAGGCTCCAATTTTGTCATATTGAGAGCAGACCCATTGACATCAAGAGCCTTTCCGTTCTGAACAGAGCTGTGCCTCTGATTTTTTTTTTTTTAAAAAAATCCAAATTGCTGCCTAATTGGCCTAGTTTGGTAGATTGCAATGAGGTTTCGACTGAAGCAGAAACACTAGACGCAGCCTTGGAGCAAAGATAAAAATAGATTTCAGAACAGCCGACTTGAACGGGGCACAATCACTTCAGCTTATTGCTGGGTTGCACATTTCTAGATTAAAGAATGCAACTCCCCTTTTGTGAAATAAGAAAGGGGGTAAAAGACATATTGAATAGACAGCTGATGCTCGTAGTCCGCTCCCTTCACATTTATTTATAATGTTCATATCCTACCTTTTCACCAGCGAGCTTCAGATGGTCTGTTTGGCCCTCCTCCTTCCTCTTCACAACAGCTCTGTGAGGTAGATCAGAATGCGACAGGGCGGCTTGGAGCCCAGGCCTTTCAGAGGCTGGCCAAGGGCTTTAACCACTACCCCGCACTGTCTTATTTGTTAGCTTTTATAGCTTGGCAGAAGCTTGAACCCAGTTCTCCTGAGTCCTAGCATGACGTGCTCCCTACTGCCATCTACTTCCTCGAACCTGAGTTCAAATTTCTTTTAGGGTCACCCTGTATTTTGGAAGCCACTTGATAAGCAGAGATTTGAACCCAGTCCCTTGGGTGACAGAGTGACAGTGGCAAATTTTACTTTCTCGGGCTCCATGATCACTGCAGATGGTGACAGCAGCCACGAAATCAAAAGACGCCTGCTTCTTGGGAGGAAAGCGATGGCAAACCTAGACAGCATCTTAAAAAGCAGAGACCTCACCTTGCCGACAAATGTCTGAATAGTCAAAGCTATGGTTTTTCCCGTAGTGATGTACGGAAGTGAGAGTTGGACCATAAAGAAGGCTGACCGCCGAAGAATTGATGCTTTCGAATTTTGGAGTTGGAGGAGAGTCTTGAGAGTCCCCTGGACTGCAAAGAGAACAAACTTATCCATTTTGAAAGAAATCAGTCCTGAGTCCTACTGGAAGGAGAGATCCTGAAGCTGAGGCTCCAAGACTTTGGCCATCTCATGAGAAGAGAAGACTCCTTGGAAAAGACCCTGATGTTGGGAAAGTGTGAAGGCAAGAGGAGAGAAGGGGACGACAGAGGACGAGATGGTTGGACAGGGTCATCGAAGCAACCAACGTGAATTTGACCCAACTCCGGGAGGCAGTGGAAGTCAGGAGGGCCTGGCGTGCTCTGGTCCATGGGGTCACAAAGAGTCGGACACGACTAAACGACTAAACAACAACAACCCTTGGGTCCTAGCCTAGCATTCTATCCATCCGCTGCCATCTACTCCTTCAGACACTGGAGCACAAAGAAACATACTGTAATCTGTTGTCAGAAGAGTGGGTTTAACCCTGAGGGTGCCAAAGCATTTTAAGTTCTGAGCTTTTTGATGCTGATGCTGAAACAGAGAGTGGGTTTAACCCTGAGGGTGCCAAAGTATGTTAAATTCTGAGCTTTCTGATGCTGATGCTGAAACAGTCTTAACAAGGCTGTCGCTCTGAAAACTGCTCCAGTGAATTTCATGGCTGAATAAGGACTCGAACCTCCATCTGCCAGCTCCAGCCCAGCCCTCCAGTCACAACGAATAACCATCAGCCATCGCTGCTATTTCTAAATGTTCCCTTTCAAGCGTGTCGTATTTTCTATTCCAATTCAGCTCCCGTGTCGTTCCTTTTTCTGCTCTCCAATGCTCTCCATCGGTGAGCTGAGCCGGCACTTGGTTCTTTCCCTCTAAAAGTCCTTTCTTCTCAGCTGAACCAGGCCCAAAAACAAAACGCTTGGCTCCCTCTCTCCTCCTTTTCTTTTTTCCTTTCTTCAAAGTCACCTTCCTGATGGGACCCCGCCTGCCTTTGGAAAGTCTGGCGCCAAATACAGGATCAATCCCCACCGACCGAAGGGGGGGAAAAGATGAAAAAGGCTAGCGAGACGCCAGATTTAACAGGGAGGAACACATGGATGGATTCCAGAAAAGATGCCGTTTTGGTCAAGGGCAGAGAAATCCTCTTCTGAGCGCCTTCTGTTGCACCTTGAGGAAC